CATCCCAAATCGCGATGGCCGGACAGAGCCTCCTATATAAGGACTTATTTGACTTTTTTATGAAAGTTCGAGGACCTATTTGACAGTTTTTCCCAAAACTTATCTTTTAAATATTAAAAATATTATATCATGCACTTTGAATATGCTCTTTTTATGTGGTGTTTTTTTATTCAATTATTCCATTTTCAATATGATATATGCATAGTAAGTTTTGTCTAGGGCCTCCGAAACGGTTAAGACGCCCCTGGTCATAAGGATCGAACTCGTTAATAAGAATACATTTGAATTAGACCTGTACAAATACGGGCTCGGGCCGTGCTTTTTATAAATTTTCTGCCCATCATGTGTGGGCAGGCCGGGCTTATCGGCCCGAACGGGCCTACACCCTAACCCAAGCCCACCCATATGTTATTGCGGGCCGGGCCGGGCCCGACCCGGTGGGTAAATATATATGCCCAAACCCGCCTATTTGTGCGGACGGGCCGGGTGGGCCGACCCGGTTTTGTACAGGTCTAGCATGCTCTCTCGGAAAAGAGACCCGAAGAGGCAATTCTTCAATGATCTCTTTTTCGATGACACCAGAGCCCGAATAATCTCCCGGAAAAGAGACCCGAAGAAGTGATTGTCCAATATTCTTTTCACATCAATTTCAACACAAATTAATGAGGCCATTCTCTCTTCCTTTATCTCTCTAGACCTTTCCAGTTATTTTTTTTTGTGCGTGTGATAGACTAGTGAAGCTCTTTGACTCTTTGTATTGCACTGTTCTTTGTATTTTTTATGAGTTCCAGTGTTTCACACTACAATTCCTTACGGTGCTTTGAGATTTATACGTGTTTGGTATGTTTGTTAATTTTCAAATCGTAGTGGCGTGGAAGTTACTTAGGTTACTTAAAGGATTTGCTGTAATAGGTTCTCTGAGAGTTAATCTTGTACGAAGAATTTATTTGTTTGAGGAGGATTAACAATAGCTTAAGTGTAGTAGAGTTTTTTTTACTCAATTCGGCTTAGATTAACTGATATCCCCCGAACCAGACTTGGAATTAATCGCTGTAACAATATAATTCGTTAATCCATAACCGGGAAACACAAAGCATAACACAATTACCAAATTCCTCTCATCCCCACATCCAAAATCAACGTCTTACAGACCAGAACAGGAAACCAGAAACAAAAACCAAAACAAAAACTAAAGTTGATGAAACAGAAAATAAAACAGAATGAATAACACCCTTTTCGCCGCCAGACAACTAGAACCAGTCTTCCAGTTTTCGGCCTCACACCTTCAAACAGTGTATTTGGCGGGCTTAAGGTACCAAGCCCGCTTCCACCCTGTTTTTTGTCCCATCTGTGATCATGGTGTCTTCCTCATTCTCTTTCTCTGTCTGAGTCTCCCAGATCTTCCTTCTTTTGGAAACCTCTTCCTTTGGCTCCTCCCCACCTTGTGTGAAACTTTGAGCAGATTCTGTCCTTGACCCTTTCACCTTGTCTGTCATCTTTCCTTCTGATCTGGATGCCCCTGGTCCGCCCCCCCGATTTGCCAAAGCTCGATGAACCCTCTAGAAGCCACGCTTTCCCTCCTGTTGGGTGGGTCTTCACCCCGCTACCTGCTCTAAGATGAAATCCAAATCTTTTTTCCAAAATCAGTCCTTCTTCATAATTCAGGGGACACAAATTATCTTTTCCTGACCTCCATAGTGCAAGCATCTTCTCTTTCAGCTTCGAGAACTGGACGGTGCGATCTGTCATATCAAGGGCCTATTTAACCCCTTAAATTGCCACGTGGGATGCATGGTTGTCATCTGATTGGGTGACATGGCGGTGATCAGACGTTTACCTACATGAAATGAGATTTGAACTTTTTAATCGAGTTGAGGGGGTGAATTGGAGCTGTTTAGAGTTCATGGTGTGAATTGAGCATTCTGGACGGGTACAAGGACCTATTTGACCCTTTAGCCTAGAGTTAATAAGTGTGTTTACAACCCACCAAATTCCCTATAATTTTCGTGACACTGCTACCACAAGCAAATTAGGTCAACTTTGAAGACCAACCTTCATATCCTCTCTTTCATGGACACAAATAATCCATAAAAACTTGAATTTCATATTCGTTGTTTTCACAAATTCAAACTACAAAAGCCTACAACCAGAACCCGCAGAGGAAGAACATGAGGGACTTTTACGTTTGGCCAAAACGTACCCATTTAATCTGAACAAAAATCAAGTAGTAGTAATTCAATTTCACTTTGATGCTCTCCTTGTTTAGTTGAAATTGACTCATATTTTTTTTCCCGCTATTCAATTAAAATGGTCTCATATCAAACTTGATTGAATTTATACGATTCTATATCATTCTTACTTTATTACGAGTGTCACGTTATCAATACAATAATAAACATATCAACTCACTTTTGTTAATGACCGCATAACTTTCTCATGTATTAATATTAGTGGGACAGATGTACTATTGTTTTTTCTAAAGCATATTTTATTGAATCAAATCACATTATATTAAAATTATGTCGATTCAAATATTCAATGAAAATTAATTGCTTTCAACTAGTTTTAATGGAAATTTAACTAAGCTACAAAACTGTTTAAATAATGTACCGGGAAATCACACTTTTGATCACTCATTTATCATCATATTAAAAGGTCAGACCTGTATTGATGATTGTAAATATCACTCACGAGATGACATATGTGTTGCAAATGTTATCTCTGTGAGAATAATTACCAGGCTTAACCATAATGGTAGCCCTGACAGATATATATAAGTGAATAATGTCATAATTACAATATGAGTCCCCAATATTAAATAATATAAAATCTACTCTATTACACCCCCTCAAGCTGTGCAGGGGAAACAATGCGCAGATTGTCACGAAGAAGAATAAATCGTTGGGGAGATAAACACTTAGTAAAAATATCTGCCAGCTGAGCCTGAGTAGGAACATATTTGACACGTAGATCTCCATGGGCCACTCGTTCACGAACAAAATGATAGTCAATATTAATGTGTTTACTACGAGCATGATGAATCGGATTCACAGACAGATATGATGCTGAAACATTATCACAATAAAGAGTGGTAGGATCTCGAACCGGAAATCCCAACTCAAACAACACGGAGCGAACATGAAGAGTATCCTGAACAGTGAGAGCAACAGCTCGATATTCAGCCTCTGTAGAAGATCTGGAAACAGTAGGTTGCTTCTTGGAGCGCCAGGAAATCAAATTAGGCCCTAGAAAAATAGCATAGCCAGAAGTAGACCGACCAGTGTCAGGACAACCAGCCCAGTCAGCATCTGAATAAGCAATAAGTGTGGGGCGAACCCGAGAAGCCTGGAGGAGAAGTCCATGCATGGAAGTGCCTTGTAGATACCTGAAAATACGCTTAACAGCCAACATATGTGAAGTACGGGGAGCATGCATAAATTGAGATACCAAGTGTACAGCAAAAGTAATATCTGGCCTAGTCAAAGTTAAATACTGTAATGCACCTACCATACTCCTGTACTCCGTGGCATCTGCAAGAAGCTCCCCATCAGTAAGAGAAAGTTTAGTGCGACTCGGAAGAGGAGAACGGACAGGTTTCAGGGTATGGAAATGAAAACGAAGCAAGAGGTCAGATATATACTTATGCTGAGAAAGAAATAAACCAGATGGTGTCCGAGTCGCATGAATACCCAAGAAAAAATGCAAATCCCCCAAATCCTTCATGGCAAAACATTTTGTGAGAAGAGATAAAAAATGGGAAACGAGCTTGGGTGAATTGCCTGTAACTATAATATCATCCACATATAATAAGAGATAAATGATATCAGAATGACGCCGCAAATTAAATACAATCTTTTATCTATTCAAAAACTGTGTGCTGATAACAACTGTGCTGTGATTTTTGATAAAACTAATTTTTTTGTTAAGGATTTAACAACGGGGGAGGTCCTTCTTCGAGCTCACAGTGATAACGGTGTTTATCCCATCCGTCAGCCGTCACCTGTTGCTTTGTCTGCTGCATCTCTTTCCCTTTGGCATAATAGATTAGGACATTGTGGTTCTCGTGTTTTAGATCAGCTCCGAATAAAGAATGTTATTTCTAGTACTTCTGCTAATATTTCTGATTGTATTCCTTGTCGTTTGGGCAAGTCGCAACGGTTACCATTTAATAAAGTTTTTCATAATAGTCCCTGTCCATTATATTTAATTCATTCTGATGTATGGCAGTCTCCGGTGATATCCAATTTAGGCTACAAATATTATGTCAGTTTTGTGGATGATTTTTCTCGTTTTACTTGGGTCTATCCCATGCGACTCGGACACCATCTGGTTTATCAACGTAATAGGGTTTTGGCTCTTGATACCATGTGAGAATAATTACCAGGCTTAACCATAATGGTAGCCCTGGCAGATATATATAAGTGAATAATGTCATAATTACAATATGAGTCCCCAATATTAAATAATATAAAATCTACTCTATTAATCTCTGCCTTTATAATTCATTTCCAATTATAGATTACTAACAAATTCACATAGCATAACATTTACAACATATCTGCCAATCAGGGGTGGCATTAGCAATATTCAAAACATGAGTCTGACATTTCAATATGGTGACTGATTGAGAAATCAAAAGTGTGATGATTTCTCATAATTTAAATCAAATAATTTGATTCTAATTTGATAAATAAATAGTCTCCAATCTATCCATTTACGTGTAATTATAAGAACTCCATTATGAAGTCATGGGATTTTCGTGATTTTTCAATGATCACTAATAATTCATAAAAATAACTCCATAATGGAATCATATTCATTTATAGATTTTTGCTGCATTTTACTCTTAATTTCTCAAAATGGAAATTAATTTAAATATGTTTGGTGATACTCCTCAGTAAACACAAACGCGTGGACCACACGTCAACATAAGCCAACGCTCTTATGCAGCCTCACGCGTCTTCCCCTTTATAAAGCCATATATTTTCACATGCTCGAAAACCAGCTGTATCCTCTTTAGTCCTTTCACATTAATCACCCTCACCAGCTCACCGTCTCTTTCAAATCTCACCATTTTCCGGCGTCTCCTACCGGTGTTTTGGACGATTAGATGTCGTCGTATTGGTGCTACCGGTGCGCAAGGTTCGTGAGGGTCTTTTCTGAAAACCACGTCGTGTGTCCTCACTGCGACAGTGGATTCGTCGAAGCGGTGGACTCCGCGCCCGCCTCGCCGGAATCCCTCCCGCGATTTCCGTCGTGGGGCGATAGATCCGAGGAAAATCAAACAGCAAGCGTCGTTCACCGACGGAGCCGGCGGAACCGTGGAGACAGATCTCCGTTTAATCCTGTCATAGTTCTTCGTAGTCCGTCTGAATCTGGCCGAGAAGATGGTCGAGATGGAGGTGAACGGAGCTACGAGCTTTACTACGACGACGGTGAAGGGTCAGGTCTCCGGCCTCTGCCGCCGACGATGTCGGACTTCTTAATGGGCTCCGGATTTGACCGGTTGCTTGACCAGCTTGCGCAGATCGAGGTAAACGGTATCTGGAGACCGGAGAATCCCCCGGCGTCAAAGTCAGCAATTGAATCGATGCCAATCGTCCAGATCTCCTCCACCCACATAAACTCAGATTCTCACTGCGCCGTTTGCAAAGAAGCCTTTGTTCTCGGTTCAGAAGCTCGCGAAATGCCCTGTAAGCACATTTACCATCCAGACTGCATTCTGCCATGGCTGTCTCTTCGGAACTCCTGCCCCGTCTGCCGCCACGAGTTACCCACCGAGACCGGGAACCCGACTTCCGAGCAAGTCAACCACTCACGAAACGCAGAAGAAGCAATAGGATTAACAATCTGGAGATTGCCAGGAGGAGGTTTTGCAGTGGGAAGATTTTCCGGCGGGAGAAGAGGAGCCGAGAGAGAGCTTCCTGTAGTATACACCGAAATGGACGGTGGATTTAACAATGGTGTACCTAGAAGAGTAGCGTGGAGATCGAGAAGAACCAGACGAAGAGATAACAATCACAGTCATCATGGAATTGCTCGATTTTTTTCTAATTTGGCATCCATGTTTCGGAGATCCAGATCATCTTCTCAGTCAACAATTTCTATAAACCCAACGAGTCCGGAGTCATCCATATCAGAATCATCCATTTCTCGAAGCCGTAGCGTTTCTTCTTCATCAGTCTTTAGTAGATACTTGATGAGGAGGAACAGTAGAAGTATGGTTCAGGAAGGGCAACGTGGGATTTTCAGATGGTAATACCATTTTTGTGGCACTAAAGAAATGGGTGCATGATGATTAACTGTAGATAGACAATGCAATGCTCTGGATTCTTGATTTGAAATCCCTAGATAATAAAAGAATGATTTTTTGAATTATTTGATGCAATTAAATCAATCTTTGAAGCTGATCCTTCTTTAGAAAACTTAAAGAAGCTCAGCTCAGCATAGTCCTTTTTATGCCATTGATCTGAATGGAGTTGTTGATTTCTTGTTATGTAATTCTTTTTCCAAACTGACTTAGTAATTTTCAGTTGTTTATATATGGACCCTGTGCTTTGAAAATGACTAAATGTCTGCAAACTTTCTGAAAACATAAGATTTGAGCCTGATATGGTCAAATTAATAAGCTTAATTTGCAGAATAAGTAACCTTGAAGTTAAAAACTACTCTGTAGTTGTTTTGTTTATTCTTCTGGTAAGCAGATCAAATGAGATAATGCTACCAAATTGTGTAGATGTAGAGTACACGACTACACGTTGATGTTGTGAAGTTCAATTGTGTGGATGCTACAACCCTTGCTGAAGTTGAACATCATAGTATGGGCCAGTGGGGAGACAAGGGGTATCTAAAATATCTACATAGTTTTCATTTATCTTCTGCGGAATTGAAAAGTTTTCTAAAGGTTGCCAAACAGAGCCTAAACATGGGTCCTGGGATACTATAAAGTTTAAACAATCTTCACTTTTTTGAAATAATGAGTTTCTTTTTCCTTTCAGTATTCTTGTTTCAGTTGTTTGCCATGAGTGAATGTGCATCTTGGTGGAAGGCGCACTTTGATTTCAAATCACGGAAGTGTCTTTTTTATAGGTAAAGTTTCTAACTTTAGCATGAAAGTATGTGCTTCAGAAGAATCTGGTCCTAAAGCACAACTTCATTGACGCTCCTGAATATTATGCTAATCTTGCTTCCTTCTCCTTTATATGACCCACTGAAAAATATGGGCTACTAAACGGGCTTTTAGTATACGGTGATTTCTTTTTAAGAACAACACCAATGTTCAAAACACCCCTTATCCAGTTCACTAGCTCTAGACATGTGTTAATCATGCTGCTTCCAGCCTTCCAGGCCTATCTGCCACAAAACATTGATATCTGTTTAGTATCTCTTGGATCTAAACATATCACACAATCTTTCCTGAGATAATGTCACGGGGTACAACAGATTCAAGAAGGTTCAATGAATTCTAAAGTTATATCAAATTTATTTTCAATTTTTTTTCCAGTGTAATTAGTAACATTAGTGTAATTTTGAGATAATTTGATCTTCTTCCAACCATAGACCTGATTTGCTTTGCAATGATAAATAATAGGGGTGGTGTCATATGTGATATTACATGGATCTGTCCAGGTCTGTATAAAGCTTAAAGCCAGCCATTCAATATCATTCTATTTTACATTTAAAACGGGACAGTGATGTATCATACCATGTTGATACAATTTCCAGAAGGCAAACATCTACACCCTTTTCAGAGATGAGTTTTAAAAAAATTCTAACCAAATATAGTGGAGATGAAGGCATGCAAACTGCAAAGAAGCAATTACTTTCAAAACTAACATTCAAGCAGGAACTACAATGGAACCTGCATGAAAAAGAAAAACAACTAAGAGGCCGTTTGGAGCATAAGAAATGGGCTGTTAAGCCTGAAAGTGCAAAAAAAAATACCAAACACCTATCTAATTGGCTACTTTGGCTGATTTTTCTTATCAGCTCAAAAAGCAAGCTAACTAGCTAAGTGTTACTTTTTCAGCTTATTTTTATTATTTGAACGTTGCTGATTGCAAAGACCTTTCAACCCTTGTATTATACGTACTTTTCCTGGAGTACATCTTCGTGCTTACTGCTTAGGAACCCATCTTTGTACGTAGAAATTTGGTAAAAGGTGAAAATAGGTCATTTAAAGAACCAAGAATAATGTTGAGAATAGTTTTGCACTTTTGCTTAATTTGGAGTGACTTCAGTTCTAAAATGACTTCCGATTTTGGGAATATTGGAAAAATCTCATAAGTGGGCTATATAAAATTTGGTCATATTTCACTAATATAATAAAATAGATGTTGAGTTTTTCATGAAAAAGGATGTATAGCAGTTGTAAGAGCGGGCCGTAGCATATATAACAGCTTAATACCCTTTGTGGTCATTTTACGTTTAATCAGCCATTTCAGCCGACATATTACCAAACGCTTTTACTTCAGCAGATTCAGCCATTTCAGTCTTTTCAGTCTTTTCAGCCATTGTAGCCATTACCAAACAGGCCCTAAATTGTAGTAATTCTACCACACAAAAAACCCGCAAAATAGTAAAACCAAATGGTTAACTATGCATGTTCTTAGTAGTTAGGAGTGTCCATTAACTTTACTTAATTCACTATGTACAATAGCTAGCTAGACAAGAGTATGTGAATAACTTAAGTTATGCTAGACTAGCTATCCGATGAATAAAGTGTCGCCAGAGAAGCGTATATGAATAGTGTTAACCGTTAATGTTAAATTATTGCAACTGTTAAAAAAACGGAGGGCGTACATAAGAACCTCAAAATATGATAGATATTGCATACAAACCCACATATTTATTCACATACACATACAACCAACTGTGGCTAGATTTTCTTTTAAATAAGAAAATGATTAAACATTCTTAGGGTTCACAACCCAAAACTGTTTGACCTTAATGCGGGTTGGTCAAATATGAACTTATCATGCAAACAAATCAGTGGTTAGGACTTATGACAAGAGGGTTAGAATATATAATAGCTATCCATACTTGTGATTCTCATACAATGAATTACCCACAAACTTGGTATGAGACTAATAGGTTTGGGTAATCTATACTACGGTATAACGTATAAAAATATCGACACTAAGGGTTTTACAACCTCAACTAACCTTTCTGGCTTTCTGTGTACCTCAACATTTCGACATGTTATCATCTCCGGAGACTCAAAGAAGAGGATTAGGATAGTATCCCTAGCATATAGCATTGGACTGTCCCAAATAGTCTTCAAATGACGTCTCAATTACGAAGACACATCATATAAAACACGTAGGGAATAGCATCCTGGTCACTACGACGAGGAGTCGGGTCCTACTACATACTCTAGAATTTCACGTAGAACCAATTCGTTCCCATTACACTTTAGGCTATGAGGCCACACCATCCACCTTACATATATAGAAACTACAAAGTCACTACGTAGCAATGCTACATACTTCACCAAAATGATGGAGATTGTTGTCATTTACCGACCAACTATAATTAAGTATATGGCCACTACAGCCAGCCCATTCCCAAGTGTCACAATCTAAACCAAACCTAGTATAAGCATAGCTATATAATTACTCCATCCGTCCCCTTTTTAATGTCCCATTTTATCATATTGGGCTGTCTCTATTTAATTCACATCTTATTGTAAAGTTTGTGTGACTCAAATTCATTCTTACTTTATCAATTAATATCAACCACACAAATTCACTTTTCTTAAATCTCGTGTCACCCTCTTCCGTCCCAATACAAAAGGGAACGGAGGTAGTATATCACTATATCATACTACGTGACGGCTTTCAAGCAAAGATTCAAAGATGTGCCTTTGTGCCTTATGGGCTTGAATGGTCGAACTACATGTGGCCCCATGAACTTTCAAAATCTCAAGCAACCCACACAACTCAAAGTCCAATAAATTGCAATACTACTTGTATTCACTTATTTGCATGCTACACACTCCCTCCGTCACAAAAAAAACTTTTGTTAAATTTCTTTATTTAACCGTCCCGAAAAATTTGTTATTTCTATTTAAAGTAGTAAATTTCTCGTTAAAGTTTTTTTTCTCCTTTGCACATATTTTAATCACACAATTCTTCCACACTAATTTTTTCTTTACTACTCCACGTGTAAGTCAAAATTAGCCAAATTTTATGGGATGAGGGGAGTATTTTTTTTCAAAAAAACAACGTTATGTTTAATAAAGTTAATGCCAAACAATTTCTTCCATTGAAAATGACCCTATATTACATATTTTATACATTTTAAATTCTTGGCACATTATTCACAATAATATATACGTAGTACTTTCATTAAATGTATCATTTTATCCATGGGCAGAGCTAGGGGTGGGCCAACCTAGGCCCTGACCCACCCCAAATTTTAAAAATACCTTAATTTTTAGTGTACAAAATTCCAGTCTAAATTGTTTCCCCAAAATATTCTTTGTACCGGCCCAGTGCTCTGGCTCCGCCCCTGATTTTATCATTTTCAAAAATATTCCTTATTCCCCAAAAATAAGTTCCCAATTTTACTTGCACATATTATGCAAGATAAAGTGTTATTTTGAGATTCTAACTGTACCAATTTTTTGTACCAAATCAAGTAAAAAGTAAAAAAGTAAAGATAAATTTGACATTTGCACATTTTTTAAATGAGCAATTTCTTATGGAGTAGTTTATTTTAGGACACCCAAATAAGGAAAATATGGATTTATTTTGGAGACGGAGGGAGTGTATTTTTCAAGATTTCGCTAACTATAAATGTATAAATAAACTAATTCCACTCTAAAATAAGGAAAATTGACTTTGCACTTCATATTTAGGTGATATTTTACTTTGCATCTTATTTTTAATTAACTTCATTAATGTTTACACTCCATCAATCCAAAAAGTGTCGAGGGATGCGGTGCAAAATCAAACAACTTAAAACTAAAAAGATGTGAATATATTAATGATTTTAAAAAATAAAGTGCCATGTTAATATCATCCAAAAAAATTATGAAATTAAACTCTGTTCAAAAATTGGTTTCGCTATTGCCCAAAACCGAAGTTTGTGATTTTTGTATGTATATCACTGCCAGGTATACATACAAAAAAACTCCCTGACAGAGCTCTTGATATGTTGATATGGACGGCAGCGTCCCGTCGACCATGCTGATTAACCAATTGATTACGCTTGGGCGTTTCGTAATGTTTTGAATGCGCTTGAGAAATTCGCACAAGTAGCTCAATGGATTGAGTGGTAGGAAAGTTAGAACATTAATCAAAAATCAAATTCGCAACGATCGTGTGAAGGTTACAACTCTTATGTGTTGAGTTGGATCTTTAACGCATGTGCATGGGTACTATGTCTATCATCATTGGTTGACTCAATCATCGTAGTTTACAATTTTCCATATACCTTGTTGGGTCGGGTCTGGAACCTTGATGTTGGGGATTCGACTTTTAAAACATTGAATGCCGATTGAGAAATGAGGTGTTAATATGGACCATAATAACTTCACTCTACATGCACTTAAAAGTTGG